CAGTGGGTTCCAGTGACAGGTTCCAGGCGAGGTCCTCTGGCCTTCACAGCCCCTTGCACAAAGGGACAGTGTCCTCAGGACCTAAATTCACACGTATTCTACAGCTGAGGCCTCTGCTGCATTCCCAAGTCCCTGCCCTGGCCAGGATGGGTGGCAGCTACACCAGGAGGCCGGCACGCGGCCTGGTTCTGGCTGCCTCGAGGAGGCCCCAGAGTGGCACGAACAGGGTAAAGAGGCTGAGCCACAGGGCAGAGCAGAGGGTGGGTGGCCTCCTGCCCACAGGGCACATAGGGAAGTCCATCCACATCTTGAAGGCGCCACAGGACAGCCCTCTAGGAAGGGCACAGCTGAGCACGCCCAGGTCCCCAGCTGCCTCTCAGCTCAGCCTGGTGCGTCACAGGCTCTTGGATCCGGCCAGCCCCCGAGAGAGGAAAGGAACACAGAGCCAGGAGGCACGGAAACAGGCACATCAAACAGCGCCGGGGATGCACATGGCCAGGCCAGCCCAAGTGGCCTGGGGGTGCCACCGGTACAGGCGCGCAGCAGCTGAGCCTGCCTCGGAGAGCCGCGGCACTCCGACCACAGAGGGGGACAGGCTACGAAAGGAAGAGGGCTGGGGAGGAAAGACACGGACCAGCTGGGACCAGGAGGACCAGGGCCACGAAGTACCTGGGGCAGCCTGTGCCCCAGTCTCCCAGGACAGCCCGCCAGGAGCTGCCACCGAGGAGGGGGAGGAGGACAGCAGGCAGTGGCCCCAGGACCTTAGGCCAGCCCATCAGCAAAGAGTCTAGGGACTCCAGCTTGTCCCTGCCGGGTGCCAACACTGAGGGCTGCTCACCTGCAGGGTCCTCGCAGGGCCAACCTGAGGGACGCAGGGGCAGAGCTGCCAGCCCAGGAGGCCAGAGCCTGCCCTGATGAGGGCCAGGAAGGCGAAGGGAGAAGAACAGGGACCAGGAGGCCAGAGAGGCTCGACAGCCTGACTGGACCAGCAGAGCTGGACACAGAGCTCAGACCGGGGCAGCGCCACTCGGGAGACAGGGAGCAGGGTAGCAGGGGCTCCAGAGCCAGGGGCAGGCTGGCTCAGTTGGCAGAGGACAACTACCAGGAGGTGGGCACATCCGCATCAGAGCTCAGCCGGCAGCGGCCCTCGCAGGACAGGCGACAGCCCCTGCAGAGCGCCTGGCTCAGAGACAACAGCCCCCCGGCCCTGGTAGGCCCAGGTCCCCAGCTGCCTCTCAGCTCAGCCTGGCGCGCCACAGGCTCTTGGATCCGGCCAGCCCCGGGAGCACACCACCTCACCCAGAGCCTCACCAGGCCGTCGTCCCACACACCAGCAAAGAGAACATGTGCAAACACACGGGCCACCCGACTCAGACCCGCACCCGTGGACAAGGGCTCAGAAGCCTCGACCCACGACCCACAACCCACAGTCCTCGACTCCCAACGGGGCTGCTGAGCGAGCCCAGGAGGTGTCCAGCTGCTCATCAGGAGGTGAAGGCCAGGTGTTCAGGGCTGGGAGGGGTGGGCTGCCCCCACGTGCAACCTGCCACCCACCCTCACGCTGCCCCAGGCCAGGCGCACAGGAGGCTAGTGGACTCCCAAGCTTCAACAGGAACCGAAACTGCCACAGCGAAACAAAACACCAGCCTGCCCGCAGTGGCCCCCGCTCCTCCCGGGGTCCCTGCTTCCAAGTGCCATCCGACACTTACCGGGGCAAGGGGGCCCAGGGCAGCAGCCTGTGCCCACCACTGTTGACACCACAGCTGACCGGCACCCTGCCACGGGCCCGGCACGTGCACGCCTCACAGCCACAGACACCACGTCCCAGCCAAGGTGGACGCCCAGGAGGCACCACGAGGACCCTGGGCCACACCCACCTTCTCTCAGCAAGTCGGTGATGTCGGCCTGGTACCGGTTCCCCACGCGGATCTCCCCTTTATCAGCCAGCAGCGTCTTCTGCTGTGGGTCGTAGACTAGGGAATAGAAGAAGAAATCCTGAAAAACACCACACACAAGACACAGGCGTCAGAGACACGCCTGCCTGTGACCCGGGGCGGACACAGGCTGCTACAGCACCAGGAGGAACGCAGAGTGAGGTCAGCAAGGGCCCAGAGACTACGTCTAGGATGTCCTTCTGCTCAAAAGCTGGAAACCACTGGCTGAGAAGGCTGAAACAGGAGGATCCCGAGTCGAGGCCAGCCTTAGTAACTTAGCAAGGCCCTGTCTCAACGTGAAAAATAAACAGGACTAGGGACGTGGCTCAGGGCAGACGGCTGTTCTTCAGCGGGGTTCCATTTCCAGTACCAAAAAAGATAAAAGGTCCGTAAGAGCAACAAAAGATAAGGCCACTCTGAACAGGCCCAACAAGCCGCAGACAGGCAGGCCTTCCTAGCCCGATGGACAGCTGTCCCTGCAGTGGCAGGTCACTGCTTCTGCAGACGGCCTCTGCCCCTCCCCAGGTCTGTGTGCACCCCAGACCTCGGCCGCCAGGCTCCCCCAGCACGAGAACTGGCATGATGGTGCCATTTCCGACCCTGCGGGTCCTGCACTTCATGCCTGAGGTCCAGCCCTGTTCCCTGGGAAAGGACTGCAGCTTCTGGGTTGCTGGGGACACCTGCACCCTCCTGGGCAGGCTGTTCTGAAGAGCGGACCCCTGGGTTTCCGTCCTGCGTGCTCGGCTCCTTCTGGCTGTCCTGCTGGCCCTCGTCCCCCTTCGCTCTGAAAACCACCAACTTTTCTCTTGGCAGCTGCACTGGACGTCAGCACTGCATGGAGCCTGGTCGGGAGAGCTGGCCGCCCAAAGGGTCTAATCTGATTTTCCCCAGGCCTGGGCCCTTGCCCCAACCCTGCCAGATGGGCCTCTGGGTGGGGCTGCCTGACCATGGTGCCTGTGGCTGACCAGGCACAGCCTGGGCTTCCCCTGGAAACTGTGAGCTTCTTGATCAGGCAGGTGGAAAACAGGCGTCCAGGGCTTTCCTGGCCTCTGCCTGGGAAATGAGCAGCGTCCAGCAACACCACCCAGGCCGTCTGCACAGGCCCTGCACTAGGAAGGGCCCCTGCGCCCGCCACTCCACCACCAGCTCTTCTGTTCAAAAGGGCTGTCCAGGGGCCGGGTGGGGCTTGCGGCCGAGCGCTCGCCTGGCACGTGCGAGGGGCTGGGTTCCATCCTCAGCTCCACAAAAAAACAAAACAAATAAAAATAAAGGTATTGTGTCCAACTACAACTAAAAAGATATTTTTTTTTTTAAAAAAGGGGCTGTTCCTGGGCACCTGTCAGCAGTGTCACCCGTGCCACCCTGTGGCTACCACCAGGGTCCTTCCAGACTGCTCTCCACACTCCTCTGTGGACAAATTCCAGGGCCTCCTGGAATTTGGTGCACCCTCAGGTGGAGCCCTGGCCCCTGGCCACAAGGGGCAGGGTGGTGCCTGGAGCAGGCCGCAGTCTCACGCGGCCCTCGCGGGGCCTCTGTCAGGTCTGTTTCTGGGCTGTGTGTGGCAGGAGTAGGGCTGAGGCCAAGAAGACACAGTCACTGTCTCCACAGCGTCCCCATCCTGAGGGAGGACGGGCTGAGCTCAGCCGTCTGGCTCCCACAGCGCCTGGGCCTCGATGTCACCCCTAGGGACACACAGGGAGGCCTCATCCCTGCCAACCTGAGCAAGTGCAGGAGGCTGGCTGAACTGGAGTGCACAGCCACCACCTGGGCAGCAGAGCCCAGGGGAGAGAGGGTCCCAAGCTGGGAGACATGTGAGCCCCTTACCTGACCCAGGGGTCCCCTTAAATCCACCCGATGCCACACAACCTCCACACAACCGACTCGTCCAACAGCCGCAGCCTGTCCGGCCTCAGGAGACCTGCTGTCCCCACCGGCCAATCCCACAACATCCTTGGCCTCTGTGCTCCCCAGGGACAGGCAGCCCTGCCTGGAGGCACCTGGGTCATCACAACCTGCGCGGTGGCAGCCGGTGGGCCACGCTGCCCTGTGAAAAACCCGCCTGCTCAAAATGCCAGCAGTGCCAGGGCTGGGGACAGGGTGGCCTCAGCAGGATTCCATCCACTCGCCATATATGGCCAACTGGGCCTCGAGTGGCCCTGGAGGAGAAGCTGGCAGTGGAGGCAGGAGGGCATGCCTGCTCTATGGTGGTCAGGCAGGGGGCACCTAGAAGGGAGGGAGCCTGGGGGCTGCGGCCACGGGACACCAGAAGCGACCATCAACACTGGCCCCAGGACACTGGGGTAAGGAAAGGCCAGGCCAGGCCAGGGGAGGACGAGGTTCCTGCCAGGCTGAGGGTGGGGACAGGGGCCGTTTCACAGAGTAGCCAAGCAGACGGCGGGCTGGGCCTCACCTCGCGCTCCAGGTAGGACTTGAGCGACTCGGTCTCGTTGAGCAGGGTGACGCTGCACTTGCCCCTGGAAGAGAAGGACAAGCAGGTGGAGGAGAGGCCGGCAGCGGGGCCCCGGGCAGGGGCCACGGGAGCTACCTGATGTGGGTGGCGGGCAGAGACTCCAGCTGCCGGGAGAGGAACAGCTCCCGGTGCCGCAGCTGGTGCTTCAGCTTCTCGGGCAGGTCCACCATCTCCGGGTTCTCCACCTCCTCCTCCACTTCCCCTGAAGGACAAAGAGTCCCCATCAGGGGGCTGTGCCGACACCTGGCTGCCGGCCCCAGGTCGGACCCCACGTGCAGGTGCCAAGTGCAGGAAGGCCACCTCCCTGCCTGCCACTCCCCTGCCCGCCCCGAAGCAGCCCAGGAGCCCTGGACAAAGCCCCATGGGTGCTCTGGCACCCCAACAGGCCAGTCCTCTGGGCCTTATGAAGAAGAAGAGGACATGGTGTCCAGTGTCAACCTTGAAAGCAGCAGGCCCGAGAGAGGAAGGAAAAGAAAGGGGCGGCCACAACACATCAAGGGCAAGGCGGCCAGGGGCAGAGACCTTCAGCCCTGGACCCCAGCCTCCAGTCCCCAAGGCCAGATGGCCCTGCACAGCCTCTGCAGACCTCCCTGCACCAGCAGGACTCCCCTTGGGGCCAGGCCACAGCAAGCTCGGGCGGCAGGCCTGACAGGGGGAAGCCCTCCTCAGCCGGCCGGCGGGGAACGTCCGTCCCCCAGCGCACCCCCGCCCGCCCGGCACAGACAGGAGGACGCCTCCTTGCAGAGGCGGGCTCTTACCTTCCTCGCCGGTGTCCGCCCCGGGTCCGGCCTTATAGCAGACTGACAGGGCTACATAACAGACAGACAGCACCCGGTCGGCAGCTGGGCGCCAGTGCCGGCCGCTTGTTCCCTGCCCAGGGCCCGGACCGAGGAGACACGGGGGCCACAGGCCTCCCGGTGGGAGGGCAAAGACCACCCGACTGAAGACCCCTCAGGCTCTGCATCCCACCCCGCCGGCCTCAGCCTCCTGTCGCCCCAGAGCTCAGGTTGCCCCCACACTCTGGTCCCGCGCCACCGCGATCACTGCCAAAGACCTCCCTGCAGGCGGCTCCTGCCCACCCTCGCCAGATCACTCCTCACTCAGGACCAGCCCCTGCCCAGCAGGACAGGAGAGACCGTGAGTCCCTCTCTGAGGCTGTGCGCAGACCTCAGCCAGCATCTCAGGCAGCTTGGCAGCTGCCCCTGATCTGTACCAGAAAACGACTGAGAGCCTGGCGTGGTGGGCACGCCTGTAGGCCCAGCTACTAGGAGGCGGAGGCAGGAGGGTCTTCAGCTTGAGGCGGGCCTGGGCAACTTGGCAAGACTCCATAAAAAGGCAAAAAGGCAAAATACTTTCTAGCCTGTCACATTCCCCAAAATTGGGGGTTGTGGAATGGTGCTCCCCAGCGGCCCACACTTGCCCAGTGCTATCCATCTGGGGACGCTACAAGCCACTGTCACCCAGGGCCCAGCTCCACTTGCCGGCCGGGGCCTGTCGCTCTCTTCTGCCCCTCTGTGGTCATTGCAGGAAGTCATGGCACCTCTGGGCCCCAAGCCCCCAGCCCCTCACAGCTCAGGGACAGGGTGTGGGGAGTGGGATCTGTTCCACACGGACCTGGAGTGTCCATCCCACCAAGTTGCCCGCCTCGCTGCCCGTGGAGCAGGGGCGCTGTGCACAGCAGTGCCTGCCCCAGCAGCCTGGAGCCCTGAGTTCAGAACAGCAGCCGCGTCCTGATGCACAGCCCTCAGCTCCACGTGGAAGGCAGCGTTTGCTCACGCCAGCCTCATGCTAGGGACAGGCGGGTCAGGACCCAGCCAGCATCTGGGCCCATGGGTAACACTGGCTTCATTCAGGTCCTTAGACGGCCTGTCCACCAGCTCCACAGAAGCTCTTAGAAGCTCCAAGATGTCCCCACCCTTCCAGGCTCCCAAGCGGAGCAAGGCCCCAGGGCAAGACCCTGTTACAGCCCATGTACACCTCGCGCCTCCACCTCCCCCAGGACACCCCTCGTGGGTGAATCCTGGGGCAGGTGGCAGTCCCTGTTCTTTCCCCAAGTCCTTTTCCAGATGGGGACACCACTCACTAGCCACTGGAGGCACACGCTGCCTTCCTGTCCCACCCAATCTTGCTCCCAAGCCCTGGCCTCGATTTGGAGGGCTCTGGGCAGTTCAGGTGACGAGCCCCCCCAGGAAGGCCTGGGAAAGGGCTGCTGTGTCCCACCTGCCTCCCGCCTGAGGCCACCTGGGTGGGAGGCTTCCCCCACAGGGCTCAGGAGCCCAGGCTCCACTGTGGGGCTCAGGCCCCGGCTGCAGGGCCTCCCTGGCCTCGGCCTTCCTACCAGGGGGGTTTCCTCCTGCAAGGCCACGGCCACGGCCACAGGGCACTCAGGGTGAACACGAGCACAGGGGACATGGCCCCGAGCAGTCATCAGGAGCCAGCCACAGACTTAGGGCCCTTGACCCCTGCCCCACCCCAGGCCCAGCTCTTGGGTTTACAGGAAGCTGGACAGCGGGGCTCTGTGGGCACCTTGGCTGCCGACATCCCAGAGTTCAGGAGACCCTCCCACAGGATGCCCTCCAGCCCTGCCCTCATCTCCAGAGTCCCCTCCTAGTTCCCCACAGCCACTGGCTGTCCTCCACAGGAACACCGGCCCCCCTGGGCCCCTGACCCAGCAGCAAGGTCCTTGCCAGAAGTCCCCACAGGTGATGGCTGGTCTGTGACCAACAGGGCACTGACACAGGGCCTTCTGGACGGGGCAGGTGTACCCTGAATGACCTCTTCTTTCTGAAGCATCTTCCAACCAAGACTATGGATAAGCACTGGGGTGTCCCTAGGACCACCCACCTCATTGGCCCTGGCTCCACGCCCCCTCAGAGGCTGGGAGGCCCAGAGGGGGAGAGGAGGCCACCAGCCTACACATCCTGCCTCTCAAAGGTCCTGCAGAGGATGGTCAGCGAGGCCTCCCACTGCCTGGCACCACAGGGCTGGGCTCATGTAATGTTTGACCTCCCTCCAGATGTGCACTGGAACCTGTCACGGGGGGCTACAGGTGGGGTCTCTCCCCACCAGCAACAAGAGACTTGGAGACCACACCTGATGACCTCGCACTTAGCCTGGGTGGACAGCACCCAGCAGCTGGAACCGCCATGGTCCTCATCACTGGAGGACACCCCTGCACTGACCAGTCTCATGGCCCCCAGGCAGATCCCACCCCAGATGCCCAGACACATGGCAGCCATAAGCTGTCCCCACATCTACCTGCACCTGCAGCCAAGAGCTGCACAGAAAGCACTGCCTGTGGCCACGGTACATGGACCCAGGGCCAGGTTACCCTCCTCTGCCCGCAGATGCACAGAGAGCTCGGTGTCAAGTGTCCAGCACCCAGCAGCCACCCAAGGCTCAGGCAGCCTTGCCCCAATGTTACAACCCCCAGATCTCAGCCCCGTGCGTGACAATACTTCAGGGTGAGAGGCCAGGCCCCGGGGATGACAAGGGCCGCTTCCAGGCACTGGAAAAGAAAGTCCCTCTGAGCCGTGCTCACCAGACTTCAGGAGGGAGGGATTTTTTCCTGAAGAGGCCACTTCCAACCCCCACAGAAACCTTCAGCAAAGTGCAAACAGGTGCTGCAGAGCAGTCCCACCTGGACCCGCACCTGGCCCATGGGGTGTCCACGCCAGCACCCCACCAGGGCCTGTGCACCTGCCTGGGACCCTGCAGAGGTACCCATGGGCGCCCAGACTGAGAGCAGAGGGCAGAGCAGGTGGCAGAGGGTGGCCGCAGCGAGGCCAGGACCCCAAAGCAGACCCGGGGGCAGGTGCCTGGAGCCCACGCCCTCCCGGGCACAGGCCGACTCACTTGCATGCTTGTCCGCCAGGGCGATGAGGGTGCTGGAGATGTCGCGCCTCCGGTAGAAGCACACCACCTTGGCCTCCACGTTCCCGTTGGCCGTCTGCAACAGCAAGGCAAGCAACTGAGCCCCTCAGCACAAGGAGGGGCCCCGATGGAGCCTGGTCCAGCCCCACCTGAGTGCCATCCCTCAGGACTCCAGGAAGGGGACACGTCCCCAGTGCCCCAAGCAGTGAGCAGGAGGAAGGCATCCCTCTGACTCCTCCAAGGCCATCACAGCAAGGGGACCTAGGCAGGGGTGCACCAGGACCCAAGCCCACACCCTGACCCTCTCCTCACCCTCAGTGGGCTGTGGGAGAACCAGGAGCAGAAGGCCCTGGAAGGGCAGGACCTCGTCCAGCCTAGGAGCCAGCCCCTCCCACCACTCCCATGACCCGGACGGCAGCCTCAAGGTGGAGGGCTGAGCCTGCGGAGAGCCCCCACCCAGGCCCTGCCTGCTTCCCCTGGAAGTGCCCAAGGACGGTCTGGCCAGAGTCCAGCCAAACCCAGCTCTGCCTCTGGTGCAGGCCAGTCACCGCCTCCCTCTGGCCTGCACTCTACCGGGTCCACCAGGAGGGCAGATGGCAGGAGACTTGGACCCACGGGAGAAATGGCCTCCACCCCGGTGGGACCTGGATGCAGTATACACTCACTGGACACGGCGCTGCCCAGGGAACCATCCCTGAACTACTGGGAGCTCACCAGAAGTGTCTCACCCAGGGGGGTGCAGGCTACTGACCAACCACCGTGGAACCAGCCAGCGTGACCAGGCACCAAGTGTCAGCACAGCCCCACCTGGCGTGGGTGAGATCCACCCTGGGGTGGAGAGCCTGCACAGGCCCCTGCAGTCCTCTTACCTGACTCCACTTACTGATCTGCCAGTCCTTCACGTACATCAGTGTGGACCACAGACACCTGCCTCCCCTTACTGATCCAACGGTCCACTTACTGATCTGCCAGTCCTTGGCGTTCGTCAGTGTGGACCACAGACACCTGCCTCCCCTGGAGCTGGTTCGGTCACGGCCCCTAAGAGCTCACACACTGACTGCAGGCTTACTCCCCAGCTGAGGGAGGCAGGGCCTAGCGGAATAGAGCGAGGTTACTGGGCAAGGCCTCCAAGCGGGTACTGGGCCACAGCCCTCCTGTGAACAGGCCCCCTCCACTCCTGCCACAATGACCTGCACCGCCACAGGCCAAAAGCAACAGCCCAAGCAACCATAGATGGAAACCTGGTTTCAAACATGAACCAAAATAAACCTTTTCTGGGGCTGGGGTTGTGGCACAGTGGCAGAGCACTTGCCTCGCACATGTGAGACGCTGGGTTCCACCCTCAGCACCACATAAAAATGAATAAACAAAATACAGATATTGCATCCACCTATAACTAAAAAAAGAAATAAAAAAATAAACTTTTTCTCCTTTTAAGCCAATTATCTCGGGTATTTTGTCACAGCAATGAAAAGCTGATATAGCTATAATCCACCACGACTCTATCCTGGCAGTTAAGCTGTCAGGCTGTGACCACTGGGAGCTCACGCAGTGGGCTCCCAAATCCTGGTGACAGGTCCCACCACATTAGAATGAAGAGTATTTATTTGCAACTTCAGAGTTTACTAAAGCAACACACAGGGTCTGCAATCTCAGTGCATGCCATGAGACTTGCATGACACAATAGCAGCCTCTTACAGAATTCAGGTCCCTTGGACGCTGCCTCCCAAGTCCACCAACCATCACTACAGACCAGGCCTCCCCGCCCCCCACCCAGCCCCCTCTAACCTGCCTCCACAATACTGTAATTTTGGTTGAATCACTTTTGGTGTCTGTGCTCTGATCACGTACAACCACACAGAACTGCCGAGCCCCTCACTCCCCACCTGGGCCAGCTACTTCCCAAGTGCACAATGGCAGCGTCTTCCCACCTGCCCGTGCTGTGTGACTGCCACGGACCCTACGTGCACGTCAGAGACCACTGAGCACGTACACATCCAGTCCTCTCCTGGGGACCCTGGCTGGGGAACCCTCTACTCCTTCCCCAGGTCAGCTGCCTGGTCTGCTAGCGCACAGTCTCCCCAGCCTCCATCCAGCCCCACGGGGCCACTGTGCAGCTGGGCGCAGGGTCTACGGGGCTCACCAGGCCTTGGCCCACCAGCCTGCAGAACAGCCTGGAGGGAGACAGAGCCCGGCTGTGTGCCCCTAAATACCACCTGCCTTCCTCTGAAAGCACCTTATCGCCCTGCTCTGGATTCCTTCCTGGCCTGAAGGGGGCCGTCTCAGGCCCAGGGCGCCTCCTTGCTGCCTAGGACCCGCTTCCCTGCCTGGCAAGGCTTGCATTTGCTGTGACTCCCGTCCCGTGAGCGCTGTGCCGCTGGACCAGTGCCCGTGTTCTGATGCTCCTCGTCCTTCCACCATGAGTGTGAGGGCCACCCTTGTCCAACTCCCCCTGCACACGCCTCACTAGCTCACCTGGCCTCCGCTGCTCCTCCAAGGACCCCGTGGGCTTTCCACCCCACATCAACTCGTCTTCCTCCTGCACACAAGTCCCTCCCAGACTCCTCACCCCCTGCCACCGACCTCTGGTACAGGCTGGAAAGCCGGGCACCCAGGCTGCAGAGGGACAGGGTGGGCACCATGGTGCTGCGGGCACTGCGGGTGCCCGTGGCGTGCTCTGGCAGCCCCGGGAGAAGCTCTTCGGTGCTTTCTCGTCCCCTGAGTGTGGGTCCCATGGCATCTGCTGCTCCAGTCCAAGGCAGGGCTCTGCCAGCTGCCAGCCCCTGGAATCCTGAAACCTCTCCTGGCTGGCTGGCGGCACTGCCCTGCTGCTGCTCTGCCTGTGACACTGAGCACAGTGGCTGTGGCTGACAGCCAGGGCCATCAGGCAAGTCACCCAGCTGCACTGACATGGTGTCAAGGGGAAGGGCAGCAGTGCCCCTCACAGGCTAGTGCTGGGACCAGCGATGCCAAGCACAGGCTGAGGACCAGGCAGGCACACCTAGGTGTGCCACGCTGGCCCGCTGCTAATGCCACAGACCCCGGAAGTGGGTTTCCGATGGCCCTGGCTGGCAAGCAGCTGCCCCAACCCCACACCTGCCGTCCCCACATCCTGCTGAAAGGCGAGACACCCCTCCTGACAGGCCCCCAGCTTGTCATGGCGCCTGCTGGGTGTGTGTGGCCACCAGCTCCCCGACACTGCAGAGAGCAGGACGGCGTGGCTGACACCCGCCTCCCCACCACGCTCTGTGGCCAGGTGAGCCTGGGCCTGCTGAGAAGGTGCAGACAAGTGCCTCTTGTCCGGCTCGTCAGCAGCAGTTTGGGGGTGGCGCAAGGCCACACCGGGCATGTTCTCACAGATGCCTGGTCATAATCCCAAAGAAACCACCAGGGACTCACCTGGGCCTCTCCCAGAGAGGGACCCAGGTCTAGGCAGATGATGCGACAAGGTCACCCAAAGGTCAACTCTGAAGCCCAGCGCAGGCCACTTGGGCTGGAGCTGGTAGACGCAAGTGGAGGGTAGCAGCCCTGCAGGCCCGCCCCGCCCAGCGGCCCGGCACTACCTTGTTGAGCTCCTCGATCCTGCGGATCAGATAGGGGTTGCTGGAGGAGTTCTCGAAGTAGACGTAGTCTGCAAGAGATGGAGCAAGCGTCACCTGTGGCCGACCCCAGGACCCTGTCCCATGCACCTGTGGCCTGCCTAACCTCCCACCACACTCAGACTCTCCTGCCCAGGTGCCCAGGCCTCATGCAGCCCGCCTGGCACAGGAGCCCTGCCCTGCTACCTCAGGGCTAGCACACAGGGAGCAGAGGGCGCACCGCCAGGCTGCCCAGGAGGCGACCGACATCACCTGCCCAACAGGTGGTGCAGGACCAGAACTCAGCCAGCAGTGTCTACCCAGCGTGCTGGTGCCAACGCTTAACGTTCAGGCCTCCTGGGAGAGGCTGTGGGGACCAGCTTCCCTGCACGGCCTAGCTCTGGTGCTGCCCCAAGACCCCATCCAGATGGGTGTGTCCCCACAGACCATCTCAGCACAGGGTGCTCCAGCCTTGTTAGCTCCCCCCAAAACCACACAGAATGTGTGCCAGGGCCTCCCAGGCTGTGGCAGGCACAGAAATGGGGCAGTCACCCCTAAACCATGGCATCAGCCTCACCCAAGCTCAGCGTCCAGGACTGTGACACCGAAGGTGCCAGCAGCCTGGGACCCCTGAAGTCAGGCCTCTCACTGACTCCACAGACAGAGTGCCCATGTGTTCTGGGGGCCAGAGGTCAGCTGGGGCCCAGGAAAGAGGAGGCCTCTCTGCCGCCGCCAGGCCCCAGGTCCTGGAGCAGCCCAGCTGAGTTCTGCCATCCCATGCGCCCCTCACACAGGGCTGACCAAGAGGACATGTCAGCTGCAATCAGCCCAAATGCCCACGAATGGGAAGAAGCAGCAACGGAGGACCAGCACAGATGAGCCCGGCCACTTCAGCCACTGGCTGGGAACTGCACGGTGGCACCTACTGGAGGCCTCGGGAGTGGGCACACACCCCTGCACACCAGGTGCTGCCCCCACCACTCCACAGAGCCAGATGTGGCTGGTGCTCAGGGCACAGCGCCACGGTGAGCAGCAGCCAGATGCAGGGCTGCAGAGAGGGGCCCGGGGCGGGAAGGGTCTGCACTGAGACTGCGCCCTTCTGGTCCACCTACAAAGGTAACCAAGTTCACCTAATCATGCACTCAGCTGATGTCATCACCCGTAGGTTACATTTTGACAAAAGTGGATTTTTTAAAAAGGGTCTCAAAGCAATAATCTTCCATTCTTGTAAATCAGATACAGAATAGATCATAAACTGGGCAGGACAGTTCAGGCCTATAATCCTACCACTTGGGGGCTGGGGAGAAAGGAGGATTGCAAGTTTGAGGCCAGCCTCAGCAATTTAAGGAGACCCTGCCCCAAATAAGAAAATAAATTATTTAAAAGGGGGCTGGGGCATAGCTGGGTGGTAGACCACCTTGGGTTCAATCCTCAGTACAAGGACAAAAAGGAACAAACTATAAAACTCAGAACTGAAAACTGTTACTACGGTTGAACACTGATGGAGAGGGAAAGTCACTCGGTGGGGAGGGTGGGCAGCAGGCCATGTCGGCTTGGTGGGCAGTGCCCACCAGGACGGCCACCACAGACGGCCACTCGGAAAGGATGTGACACATGGGGCACCAGGTAGAGAGCGGAGGTGGTCCCCACCTCAACAGGAGTGACATCATGGGGCGGGACTGTGGTGACGTGATCACACACTTTGCCAGAGCAGAACTGTGGACACCTGATAAGAGTGAGCAGCACTGGGGGGCAGACACTGTGCTTTAGCAGTGGAGAGGACAGGAAGGCAGGAGGCTGGGCGCAGGACAAAGGGCCTCAGAGTGGTCGCAAGGACCAGCAGGGCTTGGCTAGCTCTAAGACAGAAGGCAAGGGCTGCAGACCACATCCAATGGGCACTCCAGCCACTCCTGCCATCGCCTGGGCATGCCAGCAGGCACCCAGGGTACAGCGAAAGCCCCTCGGCACAGGCAGGAGGACACCTGAAACACCCCACCATGTGCCATGGACTTGCAGCAAACCAGGATCCCCAGGTGCTTCTGAGAACCCCACAGCCCACGCCATGCACATCAGGGGACGATGAGTCAGAAGGGAGCCGCGTCCTGCGCCAGGACAGGGGCCTGCAGAGCAGCCGCTGAATCCACACAAGGAGCTGCAAGCCACAGGCACGAGGGTCCAGGGAGACACCAGCCCTGCTTCCAAGTGGCTGATCAATACTCAGAGACTGCAAAGGCCTAGGGCAGCACTCAGCAGACCGGAGCAACCAGGCACACTGGCCCAGAGCTGCCGCGCTCCCTCCCTGCTGCACAGCGCCCCACCACTGGCTGCTGCCCAGCCCTTCTACCGTATCTTGAGACAGGGTCTTGCTAGGTGGCCCAGGCTCCCCCGCCTCCACCTCCTGAGTCTTGGGGTCACAGGTGGACACAGTGCCCAGCCTGACTCTGTGGGAACGGGGACCTGGTGAGGCAGTCTGTGATCCAAACACCCAACACTGCCGGACGACTGGACCATGGCGTGGGTTTAGCCAAGTCCCACACCCTTCAGGACAAGCTCACAAAGGACACTGCCAAGCGCCCAGCAAACACCGATTCCCAAAGCTACTGGGCTCTGACAATAGTGGAGCCAAACACCCACCTCTGGAAGCCATCCACACTGGAGCATGAGACACCAGGTGCCACCGCACGGAAGGGCAGACATAGCAGGACACCCAGCCCTTACCTGACAGAAGTCCACAGCACTGACACGCCAGACTCAGTGTTCCATAAAGTGCCCGCTGACAGGCAAAAACCGCAGGCCACAGGCACCCCACACTTTGCAGGCATGCAACCGGCCCTTCTGCTCCGCAAGTTCCAATACCATCACCTGTCACCCAAGCAGGTCCACCGAGGCCGGCTGAGTGAGCACAGACATGTGGACCATTCCAGAAGCTCCCGCTCGCACGTGGACCCTTCAATCAACAGGCAGGCAGCACCATCAGGGCCTGTGGCCCCATTAGTAGCCTGCGCCACCCCTCCTGGGGCAGCTGCTCCTGGCGATGCGTGCTCAGAGCAACCAGGTACTGGCCCAGATGTACAGAGGCCAGCTCTTCAGCACAGCCCCTTCAGCAACTGCTCGGCCAGCAAACGAGCACCCTGGACTCCATTACACCTTCATTTTCTTCTTCTGAAGCGTCAATGCTCTGCCTTAAGCCTCTCCTTTTTCTAGTTGGGACCCTACTGTCAAGATACCGTATCCTCCGCACAGCAACCGCATCCTCAGGTGACAGGAGGCTCTGCCATCAGAGGGACAACCAACGACACACAGACCACTGCACCCTACAACCAGGGTTCTGCACCCAGCCCTCTCGCCACCGCAGCTAGGTGTCAGCATACAACCCAGGTGCACTGGACATGCTGAGCCACAGCTGGGCACAGTGATGCCGTGGTGGTGCTATGACAGACTGGGGAACAGCCAGCCACGGTGGCACTCGGGAGGCTGAGGAAGGATCACAAACTCAAGGTCTGCCTGGGAAGCTCAGCAGGACCCCGTCTCAAAATAAAAATGAAAAAGGGGGCTGGGGATATGACTCAGTGGTGGAGCTTGCCTGGTGCCCCACAGGGCCCTGGGCTCTAGCCCCAGCATTATCCCTGTCCCCAGCTTGTGGCACTCAGCTCCTCGAGCCTTCGGAACCTCCCAAGTGCACTGTGGCTTGGGGCTGGGAGGTGGTGGGACCTCCGGGAGGTGGGCCAGTGGGGCAGGCCTGCCAAGGGGAGGGTGGGGCCCAGTCTCTTCCTCACCACCACTCCCAGTCACCCCGAGGTGAGTGAGTTCTGCTCCACCACCTGCTCTTGAGAAACTGTGTCACCTCAAGACCAAAGGCAACCAGGTCCAGCGGCCATGGGCTGAGACTGGAAGCAGAAGCCACAACAGACCTTTGTCTATGTGATCTGCCAGGTATCTGCTAGTGATGGAAGGCTGGCACAGTGCGCCAGGGAGGTGTGCCTGGGGCCTTGGCGGGGTCAGATCTCAGGGTCAGGACTTCCACCCACCTGCCCCCAGCTCCAGGGAGGGGAGAGGGGCTGAAGACTGAGGGGCCACCCATGGCCAGCGCACTGGATCCTGCCTGCACGCTAGAGCCTCCGGAGAGACCCAAGGGCCTGGGCTGGGGGAACTCCTATTGCTGAATCAGGAGGTGCCAGGAGGGTGGCGTGCCCGAGGCAGGGGACCTGCACCCTTCCTGTGCCTTCCTGCAGCCTCTTCTGAAAGCCGGTGATGACTTCACAGTCACCCGCCCAACAGCGAGAGTCCCCAAGCTCTGGGAGCCGCACCAGGGCTACAGGTCACAGGCCACCTGGTAGGGCCCAGCCCTCGATCTGTGGGTCTCCAGGTGAACGGCGCCAGAACCTGGTTTAACTGCAGGAGCCCCAGCTGGTGTCCCCTGGAAAACTGGCTGCAGGCAGGGGAGCCCCACTGGCTGCTGACCAGAGCCACAGGCTCTCGTGCGGACATGAGCATGGCCTTGCTCCAATGAAACCTCATTTATGGGCACTGGAATGTGAATTTCACGTGATCTGCACATGTCATGAGTATTCTCTTATTTTTTCTCAACCACTTAAACGTGAACAAGCCATTCTCGGCTCGGGAGCACACACAGGGCACAGTCTGCCCCTGCTGCGGCGCAGCACATCCGAAGTGGCCACCTCCCCGGACACAGCTGCAGCACCAACCAGCACAACCCCACTGGTTTGCTTGCTTTCATTTCTGTGGCAATCGACAAGCCAATTTTACCCTGCCTAAGGGAAGGTCAAGAAAGGAGAGCGGGCCACCATATTCTGAAAGGAAGAGCACACCAACTCCAAGCCTTGGGAGGCTGCGGCAGCAGAGCAGGTACACCGCACAAGTCGAGGCAGAGGGCGGACGGCAGAACCTGCAGCCAGCACCAGCACGCTGGGAGGAACACGACCCAACCTCTGGCAATGGGACAAAGGACACTTGCATGCAAAAACAGACCCTTACCCTACCCTCACGCAGAAGCTACCTTGAAACGGATAATAAACTAAAAAGCAAAACTTGAAACCAGGAAATTCTACAGTAGAACAACAAAGTCTCTGTGACCTTAGGTTAAGCAAGCCTCTTGGTTGTACAACATGTGCAATTTCAGTCCACTGAATAAGTACTGAAGCCTAGAATATAAAACAAACTCTCAGGGGCTGGGGTGCAGCTCAGGTGAAGTGCTTGCCAACCTGGAGGAGGCCCGGTTCAGTCCCCAGCACACAAAAATACAAAACAATAACAAAAAATTCTCACAACACTTAGAAAAATAATCCAGTTCAAAAACCACACAAAGGTACGTGGAAGTCAAACACAGAGATGTTGAGTGTCACCTACCATCAGGGAAATGCAGACCAGAACCCCACCTGGACGTGCTCGCGGCTTGGCACACCATGCAAAGCAGGCGTGGACAGGACTGGGCCAGGAAGCCTCTGTTGACCCCAAATGCGAGCCAGCAGAACACTGTGGCTGGAGCAGGGTGACCTGTCAGCTCTGGGGTCCTTCAGTTGCCACTCAGCCCTGACCCAGGCGCCACACTCACCCAGCAGAAGAGCCCGCATCCATGCAAAACTCCAGGCACAGACGTTCACAGCAGCCATGCTTGGAACTGCCACAGACTGGAAGACTGGAAATCACCAAAATGTCCATGGACTGATACAGGTAAACCCACGTCCGCACAACAGAAATGGAGAAGAGGGAGTCGACCACGGCAAACAGGTGACTCTCACCTGCAGATGCTGTGTGGAAGCAGCTCAAAGGGTAGCGCCATCTGCAGGACAGTGTGAGGCATAGCCTCAGGATCAGAGCACAGAGGAGGGGTTACAGGATGGGGTGGGCTGTCGGCCAATGGTACCAGGGAAATGTGTGGGGGTCGCAGAAACGGTGTGAAGGTCTGTGGCATTACCAAGATGTGTGCACCTGTCAAAAACTGCAGACCAGGGTTGGGAGTGGTGGCGTGCACCTTCGTCCCAATTACCCAGAAGGCTGAGGCGGGATCAGTCAAGCCCAGGAGCTCTGGGCCAGTCCAGGCAACACAGTGCAGCCACAACACCCCATCTCAGCACAGGGGTAGGGTAGGGGTGTGCACGCATGAGAGGGCTGAGGTAAAGCACATCACAGGGCACCAACCTTCAAACTAAAAGCATACACAAGACCCAGTTCTGGCAGGCCACGATGAGGCTGATTTACAGACACAGACCTGCTGCTCCCCAGGAGACAGGCGTAGCCCTGCAAGCCCCCAGGTCCACTGTCATGAGGCAACTCACCCACCTTTGTCTAATAGCATCCTTGTCTCCAGATACCAAACACAAACGACAGTACCACCCCTCACACCCAGGAAGTGCACCAGACCACCTGCAGGTCATGGCTTGGATGTTGATGCAAAAACAGACCCTTCACCCTACCCTGGCTCGGGAGCACACACAAGGTGCAGGAGGGAAGAAGTCCAAGAAGAGACAAAGACCCACCCTGACTGCAGGGCGCATGGCCAACAGAGGGCCTTGAACACTGCTAACCCCACTGCTAACACTCACCAACACCACAGAGCCGCAACCTGCACACAGGGCCACTCGGAACAAAGTCCCAAGACGGCACAAACAGAGCACTGAGCAGACTGGGAAGAACCAGTTCACGGGACCCACAGGGAAGGTGGCACCTCAAACATCTAAGCAGGAGCCTTACAACTTACCTACTGGCAAGCACCTACACAGCCATGCCAACAATGCAGACAATCCTGTGGTCACCGGACTGAGGAGGGAGGAGGGCACGGAGCCCACCTGGGGTCACAGGTGGAGGAAGGAGGAGGGCACGGGAGCCCCCCTGGGGTCACAGGTAAAGGATGGAAGTTAAGTCCAAGAGGAGACAAAGACCCACTCTGACTGCAGGGCACATGGCCAACAGAGGGCCCTGAACTCCACGCTCAGCGGGTGCTGCCCAGGGCTGCAGGGTCAGCCACAGGCTGTGTAAGTGTCCTAAGCACATCTGCTGAAGGGGAGAACCGTTCCTCCCCAGGAGAGCTGCAGGAAGCACCCTGATCTCCCTGAAGGCCTCCAGGGGCAACAGTACAGGATCCCAATGCTGAGCGCTCGGACAGCCCCTGAGGCTCACCTGCAAGTGAGTGTCATCTCCATCAGGAGCACACCCACCATGCCAGTGCCTCCTCGGGTCTTCAGGACAGTGGTTGTCCTCTCACTCCTGTTTGTTTTGGTACTGGGGATTGAACCCAGGGCACATTTCCACTGAGTCACATCCCTAGCCCTTTTTGTTTTACTTTTTCTATTTTGAGACAGGGTCTTGCTAAGCTGCTAGAAGTTGTGCAAGGACCTTGGCCTGCAAACCCCTCCTAGCCCAGTCACAGCAGGAACCCTCACAGGGACCCTGGGGGCCACTGGGCATCTCTGCACTGAGCTCCAGGGGCCCTGCTGGGTATGAGCAGACCCACCCACTGCACACCTCAGAGCCACGTAGGGAAAGCCCAGTGGGCAGCATCAGGCTCAGGGTGCCACTTAGGCCTTGTTCCTGAGAGCAGCCGACCAGGATCCCCTGGCAGAGCTGCCTCTCATCACCAGCAACAGCAGGGCCCAAAGGCACGAGGCCAGATTACAGGCGATCTCACCCCCACAGTGGAGGCTGCTAAGCGCTTCTAAGCAGGGACGTGAGCAGATCAGATCTGTTCCTTGGAGACTCATCTCCCCAGCAGGCCATCAGCTGCACAGCAGGGACAAGAGGGAGGGCCAGAGAGGGGCTGCCCGGACCCCAGCCACAGGCAAGGAGGGGGAGCCCCTGTGCAGGACATTGCCCTGACACATCAGACCCAGGACTGAGCAGCATCCCGTGGGCGTGAAAAGCCTCCATTGTGGTGGGGCCTCCAGGGGGACCAGGGAGCCTTGGACACTAGCAAGCAGGGCACACAGGCACGAGAACTCCGTGCCAAAGGCCAGCCCAGAAAGAAGGTTGGGGGCCTCACCTGGCCACAGCCCTCCCCAGGCCCCCTCCTGCAGCAGTGTGGAAGCAGCCCAGCACTGTCTGCTGTACACAGCTGGCAGGGGTCCCACAGACAGCTCTGCGGCTGCACGGAGAGCCTCTGTCGGTGCCACTCACATGGGCAGCTTGGGGGGTGGGAGACTCCTGTAGGGAAGCAAGGAAAGGAGTTTTCTGAAATCTTCAATCCCTAAGAGAAGGATGCTGGTGTACCAGGCAGGGCCTGGGCTGGGCCAAGTCAGAGGGCCCAGGACAGGTAGCTCTTGGGGAGCGGAAGCAAGAGTCCAGAGCAGGTCCCATCTGAAACCCTGTCAGGAGCACAGAATTCAGCTGGAGGCAATGCACAGAGGAGGGGTCCAGCCCCTCCCTGGTGAGTAATGCCATGACATCCAGCCAGTGGGGTGACCTTGGGGGCCACTGCAGATAGATGCCCGGGAGCTTGCACCCCCAAAAGCCTACATGGGGGTGGAGCAGCAGCAGGCCCGGCTTCAGGTGTGACAGCTGTCTCTGAACCACTTGCTCCACCTTCCCTAAGCCACCGCATCCTTTTGTTAAACATTAGATGCTGCAAGGCCAAATTTCTCTCAAAACAATTAGGAGGCCCAAAAGAAGACCCTAGGGCTACTCCCACCAGGCCAGGAGTGGTCAGCAGGTGAGGCGGCCCAGGGCAGGACTCTTGGGGGCTTCGAACCATGCCTGACCGATAAGACCCCAGAGGCCTCCCCACAGGCTGGGAGTAAAGCGTTACTGTCCAGACACACTGCCTCCACCCTCTCCAAGGACAATCTAGGGCCCCAGCCTGTGGCTGGACTCTGGGACCCCTGCCCTGTGGCCTACACTGTCAAGGCAGAAGATGGCAGGACCCAAGGGCCTCTTCAGCTCCCACAGCAGCCATGTGCTGGGAGGACCCCAGACATCAGGACGTGGTGTGGCCCCGTAGGCCCAGGGCACAGGCACTGCCCTTCAGGAGTCTGGAATTCTCATCCCTGGGAACATATTAGTCAAAAGTTTAAAACATAAAAGACACCAGAGCTGGGGGTGGCTGCCTGGCATGCATGAGGCCCTGGGTCCCATCCCCAGCACCACAACAGAAAAAATAAAAACAATAAACCAAAAAAACAAAAGAAGTGTTTCTGACAATGTGATAAATACCTAACACCACAAATGGAAAACTCGGGGAGCAGAAGCAGGAGGTCAGGCTCAAGGCTGGTGAAACTGCCCTGAGAACACTCAGCGGGACGGGCCAGTCTGAAGCACGCATAGCCCACAGGTTATTGGTTTTCTGTCACCTTCTACAAGAGCAGTAAAACAAAAATCAAAAGCCATCCATAAAGACCGGGTGTTAACTTCTTGTAATCAAAGAAAAAACTCCAGAGAAGACAGTAACCTGGGCAGAAGCAGCTGGAGGTGCAGGGGCTGGGGGCTCCTGGGGGCAGGCTCTTCAGCCCTGAGGCCCCACCCAAGGTTCTGAGTTATACATAGGAAAGAAACACATGCAGCTCCCCAGGGAGCCTGGCTTCTCAGGAGAGGCAGCCGCAGGAGCAGAGGTCCTGCAACCTGATGGCCACAGGCGCCAACAGAAGGCCTCTTGTCATGCCAGCCACTTCCCAGAGAAGAAACAGGCCACATCCCTTCCCGGGCTGACCACTTCGTCCAGCAGTCAGCTGGCATGCAGCTGTGGCTGCCACACATCCACCCTGCCCAGCCCACCCTGGCAGGGGTCGCACTGCCCACCAGGTAGAAGGCAGGACATCCAGAGCTGCCTGCCAGCTAGAATGACCCATGTGACACTTGGGACACACTTACAGTAGGGCATGGTTGCTGCACCTACACAGGCCCCTCGACATGGAGGTCCGCAAGAGAAGACCCAGGGCAAGCCCCGTCCCAGACTTGGTCCCTGCCAGCTGCTCCCCTAGGCCACAGCAGGCTGCCCAGAAGGCCAAAGCCCAGGCAGCAATGGACGCAACTGAGGCCTAGCTCAGGGAGGGGGGATGCAGCTTCCTCCCCACTAGGAGGACTCAGGCACCCAGCAAGCAGCACAGGGCAAGGCCCCGCTGACACCCAGGGGAGGTACCAGGGGTCCTGTCCAGAAACCTGGGGTCCATGTGATTGCCTCTACAGGGGCCAACAAGTGGAAGGGGAGCCCACAGACATGCCTGCTGAGCACAGCCTCATGGCAGGCCCCAGAGGCTGGGCAGCTCCCACAGTGGACGGCACAGCACATCTGGCAGCACAGCCAGGGCCATGGTCCATGCCAGGCAGCAGAGTGTCCCACGGAGGGACAGCGATCCTGACCTTTCCCTGCTCCTTAGTACAGAAACAGGAAACAAGATGGCCTTTGCCAGGCAGCATGGCCCAGGTCCAGTCCCCAGTCCATGGGACCCCAGGCTCAGAATGGACTCCTGGCTGAGAAAGGCTGGCCAGTGAGGTTCCAGACGGGCCAGGGCCAGACCCACAGACAGGCCAGGTAGGGTCCCGCAGACTCCAAAACCTGTTCAGGGACCCAAGAAGTCTCACTTCTGGGAATGTGGCAAGACAGGACCTGGCTTTGGGCAGTCACATTATGTCCACATGGGTGCCAGGCACTCCCCAGGGGAACCACCACAAGGCACAGAAGGACAAAGAGACAGATCCT